TACAGAGTGAAACTTGGATAGCCTGCTGAAATAGCACCCTACCTGCTTTGTCTAATTGGAGGATTTAAGAGCTGAATACAAAAATGTCCTGGGGAAAATCAGTTTCCTTGACAAGTGTTTAAACTGGACCCAGTGTCACAGAAATGGATATCTGAATGATAAATGCTCTCCAGGAGTGACTTCTATAAGTAGACCAGTTGCACAGTTTGAGGGGAAGGAAGGGAAATAGAAGTGAGTATGTTTACAGAATCTGTCACCCTGGCTGTGATTTTTAATGAGATTAAGCAACATTATTAATAGGCTAGTTCCCCCCCCCCATAAACTTTAAGAACGATAATTCTGACTTATATTAGCATTTTTTAAAGCTACTTTCATTCCTATATGATAGTAGTGTTACACCTAGCAAGGCTACTGTTAACCTAGAAATTCTACCAAAAGTACATATAATGCATATTGTGTGTGCATATATATCTGTTAGTTTCTTATATCTGTTTTATCAAATTAATACAAACTTGGTGACTTAAAGCAACAAAAATTTAGATCTAAGAGGTTGTAACTGGACATCAAAACAGATATGGAGGTAAGACGCCTGAAACTGTCCTACTAGGTTAAAATCAAGCTGAGGAAAAGCTGTAATCAGGAACTGGCTTCTCTGGGTGCCTACATTCCTTGGTGCGTGGTCCCTTTCTTCAACTACAAAGCCAGCAGTGAGGTCAAGTTGTCCTCCCACTTTATCACTCTGACACTCAACCCCTTCCCTCCCTTGTTGGTTTGCAAGGACCTTGTGATTATGTAGGTCCACTTGGATAACTCAGAATAATCTCCCTAGTCTCAAGGTCAGCTGCTCAGCAGTCTTAATTCTGTCTTTACCCTAATTTTCTCACCATGTAATGTTCTATATTCACAGCTTCTGGGAAGTGAGACATGGACATCTGTAGGAGCATATGATACTTTATTCCACCTACCGTTTAGTCAGGTTTAAATTTTATCATGATTCCTCCGGAGCTACACTGACCAAGTACTGACTCTGGAGGCCATACATATCATCCTATAGAAAGCTAATGCAGTAAAATATAAAAAATTACCTGGGATAATAATAATTAGAGTTTAGAGTTTAGTGCTGAAAAGAATCCAGCAAAGATGACAGAATAGCCAGTGATTGGAATGAAAAGCAGACCTACTAGATCTGATTGCTGAATGTTTTCAGAATGTCAGGGAATTCAGAATATGACAACTGCTATACTCTGGCCAGTTGCTTTTGAAAAATTACACAGGCTGATTGGACTCTTACCATACAAATTTTCTGCTGGTGAAGTCCATTCTGTATCCTCTAGTAATTCCATGTTTACTGTCGATCCATGTAACATTTGCTCTAAGATATGTAATGAAATACTCCTGAGCATATGTATTACTGTCATCTTCAGAGGGTAATCTAGCTACACAGGGCCTATATCAAGTATGAGAATTTATAATGGAGCAAGAAGCTTAAGTTGGTTTGTGAAGTTTCAGAAATGGCAGTTTTAAGATTCTTGATGTTACATTTTTTGAATATCATCAGTTGTGACCAATTGCTTTCCCTTTGAGTATGGATTTAACTTATAACAGAGTCCACAGCCATTTGTATGTTGTTGATTACAGTGAAAACTGGTAAATTGATATAACATTCTAGAAAGTAATTTGACGTATGTACCTAAAACCTTAAATTTTTATGTATATACCGACAAAATAATTCTGATGGTGGGACTTTATTATAAGGAAACATTCTTATATATGTGTAGAGATTTCTTTATGGAATTATTTATTATAGTGAAAAATTGAAAACTAAACAGTATGGTGTTATAAAGATAGATTTTGGGATATCTATTCAAAGTAATGCTACCATCTTTAATGCTCACTATTATAGAAAATATCAAGTGAAATAGAAAAAATAGAAAAGGAGATATGTGAATGCTGTATGTGAGAACAGTTATACACACAAAAGATGAATGTATTCATAAAGGTCAAGGTTTATCCCTAGGTAGTAAAATTAGGATGTATTTCCTTTTTTCTAATATTTTTTTTCTTCAGGTATTCGAAAATGAGCATACATTAATTTTATAAAAGAAAATACACATTTTAAAGAAGATAAAATCATAGATCCTTTAGACATATGTCTGATGGTTAGTTTGCTACACAGTCCTTGTTCAATCATAAAATTGTGAAAGCATTTTTAAAGTAGGAATATAACAACATTTATTTCTAAAATGAATGACTAGCTTTTCAAGAGAGGAGTTGGAAAGGTAATACTTATTTGGATCTGAGAGCAAGATTTTGGAACAAGATTTGGGTTATATTTTAAATGGAGGTATAATTTACAAAGTAAAATACACACATTAAGTGTATACGTTTTGACAAATGTTTACATTTGTTCAACCAACATGCAAATGAAAATTCAGTTGGTATGTTGGGATGAAAAGAAAGATCATTTCTCTGTAGACATTAGCATGCCTTCAGTAATTGCTTAGCACAATTTAGAGGGTACTTTCTATTGTTGGCACTTAATCTGTGCCTTGATCTCTCTCTCACAAAATATATGGGACCAAGTGCAACACTCCACAGTTGGACCTTCAGTAATGGTGCCCAGTCTGTCCTATTGGCTTTGCAGGGTGTTCAACACGGGAGGCCGGAAAGGCTTCCTCACGCATCTGAAAAAGCACTGCCTCCCAGGGGCTGATGGTGAAGCAGAAACTAGTTGGGCGGCAGGTATAAACCCTGTAGGAATTTCTACCAAAGAATTGCAGATTGAATTCATTTGCTGTATTCCCTATTCCCCTTTGTCTGTTTGAAAGAAAAAGAGTCTTTTCTTTTAATACTCTTTTCTTTTGAATAACTTGTAGTGTGTATTTGAATGGTCGGTTAGATTTGCTAAGGAGGCCTAGGAAAGTAATAAATAAAAACTGCTTTTCTTTGCCTTTGCAGTGGACTCTAGCCCTCCAAAATTTATAACCTTTGGACAAGGATGGTTGAAATATCCTAACGTGTTCCTGAAACTACTTTATTTGACCAACTTTTACTCTGTCATGTGGACTGCAAGTGTCAGCATTACTTGCACTCAATTTAAGAAATAAGAGTTTCTTCCAGTACTGAGGCCTCAGGACGTACACTTTTCTCCTGTAATTCCAGATCCTTCCAAACAAAATTAACCTGAGTAGCCATCCCATATTATTGTTGGGCTTTTGCTTTTTTCTGGCAGTTGAAGGTTCATCTCAAAATCTATCTGGCAGTAGATCATTTAATTATTCCAGTGACTCTCTACGGCCAACAGACCTTCTAGAACAAAAAATAGCTGAGGTCAAGTTATCTAAGCCTTATATTAATCTCTTTTATGGCTCACTTTATTTAATTCTTATTTTAAACCAGTAAAGTTGTAGGTGACTTTCTTTTGCAGGTGTAATTAAAGCTAATAAAGATAAGTATTTATATAGATTGCAAATCATGGTGCTGGAATTCCAACTCAGATATGCTGACTGTAGAAACTGTGTTACTCACCCCTGTACTACGTTTTCTCCCTAAACCAATCCCTGCCATCTGTTTGTTCTGAAAACTATTGTGTGTAACTAGTTTTAACTTACTTCTGAATGGTGCCCCAGCCTGCTTTCTGTTTCTTGGTATGCACTTCTCAAGAAAGCTAATCCTAGCAGAGTCTGGTCCTCCAAGATGGAGAGGAACTCCCAGCCAAAAGAACCACATTTGTTCCTGCTGTTTGTCCGTAGCCAACATTCCTGACCCCTAGTAATAGACAGGAGTGGAGGACCTCTTGTTTAGCATACACACAGTGCCAAGTGATGTCCATTCCACACTTCTGTTTCTGTTGGATCTGTGGAGACAGTGGGTCCACTTCTCTTTCAGAAGCCCCTTTCTCCTGAGGCTACTCAGCCTATTGTAGATCTCTCTTCTTTTATCTAGCAGCATTGGAAAATTTACCCTTTTCTTGAGATAATTTCATGAGCCCTGAATCAACCCTGATTTTACCTAGGAGCAGACTTCCTTGTATGTAACTTGGTTCTGAGATTTTGGAGACATTGATCTTGTCTGTTTTATTCACTGTGATGTCCTTGAAACCTAGGAAAATATAAAGAACTGAGTGAATTCTTGTTTAACAATCAAGTCATACGCTGTCCTCAGGTGGGACCCTGCTTGTGCCCTGGCACTGTGCTCAAGCCCCAGTAGAGCCACTGGAGACTAAAAAACTGCAGCCTCAAGCAGCTCAGTGGTCCTGTGCTCCTTAGTGAACTGTGGATAGTCATTCTGCTCCACGGCATGGGAAAGGACACAATTTAGTCTCGTGTTCCATGGAAGCCCAAAGAAGGGCATAGAAATTTGGACAGCAACTCAATAACAGTGACTATACTTAAGTGGCAGACAGCAAAACTCCACATACCAGAGACATTAAGCACCAGCTTAGAATGAAGAAAAAGATGTTTTGCAGGGTGTTAATACAGACATTTCTCTCCTCATTTGATGTTACTCTTGATCTTGGTGTTTGTCTTACTTAGTAGACTAGAACTGATAGATTTGTGCTATTTCCAGGTTAATTTATGGAATATTATATTATTTACTTTTCATGACAATGTCTCCTCAATAAACAGAACTTGGTTCTTTGTGTAGTGTGCACATAGGTATCATTCTTAGTTGTGTCTTTTCTGATGGGCAAAGGAAAATTGCTTGTGCACTATTTCAGGTACATGTTATGTTTGCTCTCTTCTGAGTGCGCACAGTCGCATGCAGACACACACACACCTTCCTGTTGTGTAGAATTATATTACATCTGACCAGGTGATAAAGTAATACTAAAGAAATTGTTAAAATCTATGTGTGGTGTGACAGCTTTGTCAATTTATTGATGAAACTGTTACTATAAATTGTTTGCCAACACAGGGCTCTTGACTCAGTTGAAACACAGGCAAACTCTATGTACCTGGTGATAAATGACCCCATTTTTTCTTTTTTGTTTTTTCTAGGCAAGAAAGCTGATCAGCGATTTTGCCATCATTTTGTCCATTCTCATATTTTGTGTAATAGATGCCCTAGTTGGTGTGGACACTCCAAAACTAATTGTGCCAAGTGAGTTCAAGGTAAGTGAAAGCTTATCTCTCAGCTGTTCTTTGAACTCATTGGCTTTGTTTCTTCTCTCTTATTCTAGTTTGTTCTCAGTTTTATACAGTTATCCACTTCTCTTTTTATCAACATAGTTCTCTTATTAGGCTCATAAATACATTTGGTAGAATTTTTTCACTAAGATTAAAAGCAAAGACTAGGATCAAATGTATGGCTCATGTTATACTGACTTATTTTAAGATAACATAGAATTACAAAATCTTCCTTATACTGTTAAATGCTCTTAAGTATTTGGAGTATACATTATCACCTGAATCCACATAATTATTCTAGGGAGAATGCAGCATAACTGACTTCACTTTTATTTCATAAAACTGAGGTGAAAAGTCACAAAAATTAAGGAAAATGCCCAAGCTTGCTGGACCAGTGTGTCAGGGATGAGAGTCCACATCCCTAGTTCAGTGTTCTCACACACAGCCCAGCTGCCTGCCAGACACACGCACCTGCGAGGTAGATTTTAAATGTTATAAAGAAAGTATTAGAATTATTTGATTCTATTTTGATATGCAGATGTAAAGGGTAAAATCTACATTTCATTCATTTTGAAATTATCAATCTTCCATTGTAAGTCTTTTGCTTATTTTCTAAAATAATTCTCCCTCTCTCGACAATCAAGATGATACATGTGCTAAGATATATCAAGCACGCTGCAGCTTTAGTGTAGTAACTACTTGGTGGGGAAGGGATAGACAGACAGACAGATATCACAGCAGATAATGTCTTTGGCATTGTCTTTGCCATCAGGTATTTGTCAGCAAGTTCTCATTCAATGAGTCATCATTAGTTCATTGAAGCCCACGTTTATGAAGTGTTTACATGCGGTCAGGCTTCATACTGGGGACTCAAAGTGCATTGATGAGCCAGCCGCCTGCACTGTGCACCCGCCATACAGCAGGGGGGTGAAAGGTGGATCACCTCAGAGATGCCGTGAGGAGGGAGGTGTGTGGTGGGGACACGCCAGAAGAGAAACAGACTTTCTCCACAGAAAAGCTGTAGAAAGTGAAGTGAAGATAGCATCTATTTCTTTATTCGCATTATTTAAAATAAGGTACAAGCAGTTTTTTCCTGTGATAGGAATATATGATCTATTGAGAGAAGATGGACTGAAAACTGGGAAAAAAATCCTTTTTTTCCCATTTTCCTGATATTTCTGAGGATTTAATCAGTTCTGGATATTTTTTCATACCTAAAGTAAAAAAAGATCAGAGTAGTTGTAACATATAAAAATATTTATAGTTCTTTATATGGTATATTACAAAATCTGTCATAATCTGACAGTAGTATAAACAGCTTCAGTATAATTGCTAAAATTCAGAAATAAAATTCATGATGAGCTTTATAATGCCTTGCTATTTCTTTATTGAATATTATTTTTGGGATTGTCTTCTAGTCACTCCCTTAAGCTTAAATCACTGTCTTCTATCCTAAGTCCTTTTCTTAAATTATCCCTGATACATAACAAGGGACCCCCAGCTACTTTAGGATCCCATAGTTTTCCCTTCTTTTCTTTAAATATTATCTCAGAAATAACATCCTTTGGGGAGATTTTTGGTGAATACTCTTTCTCCAGCCTATAGCAGTTTCTGTGTTGTCTCCCGCTAAATAAAAGTATGTATAAGGATACATACACTGATTTTCATCAAGTAGCACACAAACATTAACTTGATTTTGTTCTGAGAAGTGTTGTCTTTCTGCTCTAAGCCAACAAGTCCGAATCGAGGCTGGTTTATCCCCCCGTTTGGAGGAAATCCCTGGTGGGTGTACCTGGCTGCCGCTATCCCAGCGTTGTTGGTCACCATCCTGATTTTCATGGACCAGCAGATCACTGCGGTCATTGTAAACAGGAAAGAACATAAGCTCAAGGTAAGTATTTGTAATTACAGTTATCATTGTAAACATTGGTTCAAAACCAAGAGAGCTGTATTGGAAGTTAAGCTGTACCTAATATTGCTTAAGTCTTGGTAGAATTAATGACCACCTCAGGTTGACACAGGTCCTTGATGTGGTATCTTAGAAAAAACACATTTATTTGCCAAAAGTGTTTCAAGTCGTGTTTCTATCACTATCAAAGAGAAAATGTAATTTAATGCTTAGTGTAGTCATCCCACCTCTGATTCTAAAGTGAAAGTTGTCCTTCATGACAACAATGATAAGGAAAGACTTCAGCAAAGCGTACTGAGCACCGGCTCTGTTAAGTCAAATCAAGTTTTTTTTCTTTTATTCAAAAATTTTTTGAGGAGCCTGAGATATTACTCAGTGGTAGAAGGCTTTCTTGGTTTGTACTAGGCTCTGAGTTTAATTTCTAGCATCACTAAAAAATATTGTACATATTTATGAGATTATGTTTGATAATTTGCAATGCATAATGGTCAAATCAGGCTAATTAGCAGTTCTGCCTCCTTAAACATTTATAATTTGTGTGTGTTGGAAAATAAAATTTATTCTTAAAGCATATTCAGGCAGTTCATAATTATAAGTTACTGGTAATATCTTCAATATTTTTCCTGTCTTCAAATATTTCTCATAGGATGGTACAGTCCACAAAGTAGATGAGAATACTTTATTTTGTACATTTTAGGTTTTTAAAAAATTAGCTTATGTGCTTAAAGAAAATGCTTAGTGGTCTGGGCTATCTTTCAAGAGGGCAGCCTAAGATGGTGTCACCTTATATAATGTTTCTCCAACTCCAGTGATTTTTTAGGTCACAAAGCATTTCAAAAATACCATTTGGGAAAGTGAAATATGAATAAAAAACTGAGAACTATAAGTGCATGGGTATCTGCTACAAGCCAGGCTATGTTTGTAGTACATATGAACACATTAACTTTTTATAACCCATATATAAAGGAACTACTAAAATGCATTAGAGTCAGTCAGCCAGGAGCAGGAGAGGAAATTACTTAGATGGAGTTCAGCAGGGCACTAGCAGAAGGAAAACTCCAGGAAATGTGAAGGAAATTTGACTGTATCCAGGAAATTTGACTCTAGGTACCCACTGGACAAAGGAATAAGAATTCAGGCAAACTGTCCAATGGGAGCTGCGGATCCTGTCGAGAAAGGTGTAAATCCACGAGAGGGCTGGGCAAAGAAGACTCTCACATGTTTTGCTCTAAGAAGTGATGTTTAGGTTTTGAAAGTTTTGAGGGAGAGTAAGCTGAGAGTGATGAAGTCATCCAAAGTATGTGACTCATTTCTGAAACATTGAAGACTATCATCAGATCCTTGGGGTGCTGGAGTATGGGGTACATCTCTGCTGCATTGATGTTGGTATTGCTGGAGGACAGTACAGGACAGGGTGAAGTGTAAGACCATGGGAGAATGGAAGTCACACAGGAAGAGACGTTGTCCTCCTGGGAATCAGCTTGAGAACAACTTGAACATCCAAAGAAGGCAGTTTGTAGGATCATGACAATAAGTTATATACAGTCTCACCTAATGTGAGAAGTTAGAGAAAGGGACTTTCACTGAAGGACAAACATCTTGTTGGACATGGTAGTGCATGATTGTAATCCTAGCACTCTGAGAGGCTGAGGCAGGAGGATCCCAAGATCAAGTCCAGTCTGGGCACTTTAGCGATTTAGGGAGAACTTGTTTCAAGAAAAAAACAAGTTCCTTACTTTAAAACTGATCATTATTTTAAAAATTACTTACTACTCTACTATTTTATTTTCTCATTTTTTTTCATGTGTTTCAAATGACCCTGTTTAGAATATTCTCTTTTTATCTCAACTGTTTTCCATGCATAGTGTTTTCTTACCAGGACTTACACAGTTTTGCCTGGATGGTATTTGGTGATCAACTCATTCATTTTTGTTTGCCTGTGTTTTTGTCTTACCTTCATTCTTAAAAGGTGCTTTCTCTAGATATATAATTTTAGGTTGAAAGATATTTTCTTTCAGCATTTAAAAGCTATTCTTCATTATTTCAAATTTCCTTAAAAGTGAACGGTTGTATAATTTACATCTTTATGCATTTCTTTTCTTTTTGGCATTTTTATTGTCTGTTTGTGTTTGTTTCGAAGTTTCACTTCAATTTGTATGGGCACAGATTTCATATACTGGATGTTTTTGGCCTCCTGAATCTGAATACTAGTATCACTTACCATTTACAGAATTTTATAAGTCTTTGACCTATTCAAATTCTAATATGTGTTTCTGGAATTCTAAATATAAACCTATTATACATTCCCATCTTGTGCTTCTTGCCTGTTAACCTTTTTTTTTTTTTCTTTTATTTGTCTTTTTGAGAAGAGTCTCGCTATGCAGTTCAGGCTGTTCAGGCTGGCCTTGAGCTCACTTTGTAGCCCAGGCTGGTCTCAAACTTGCAACAATCCTCCTGCCTCAGCCTCCAGAGTGCTGGGATTACAGGTGTGAGCCACTACACCTGGCTGTTAACCTTTTTTTAAAAAAGGTTTCTGTCCTTTATGTTCTCTATGATGTGTTTTGGTTAATTTTTTCAGATCGTCTTGCTTTTTGTGTGTTTTCTAGACAGAGAGCTAGTATTCCACACATATTACCAAAGTCTGCTAAACATGTAAATGTTTAATGTATGGCCTTCCAGAGAAGATTTCTAAAAGTGCCATAATTATGATCAACTTTAATATGTAATTTATTTGTTTAATCAAGATCCAAATAAAGTCTGTGTATTATTGTGACATCCTCATACACTCCTAATCCGTGCCTTTCCCTTGCCTCTCCTTTGTTTGCCTTGGAAGTTGTTGTTGAGGACAGAGGAGGTTGTTTGCTGTTCTGCTTATCTTTGCTGCACACAAGTCACCTGATAATTTCATGTCTTAGCAGAATAACAAGAGTGTTTGCTGTCATCCACCTCCCTGGTTCCTATCACCTGTCTCTTGGTTTTCTCTGCGGATTATTGTCCTCTGGGTCTCTTGTCCAAGAAGAACCCTGGGCTCTGGGCTGCCGCAGCTGCGTCAGGTGGTGAGAAGGAGCTGGGCTGTCCTCAGGGGTTCCCGCGTCCACGTGGCACATCCTGCACTTGCTGCCCTCCTCACTGCCTCCACGTGTCTGTGCCTGTGTGCATTCATTTGTAAAGCACCCACCACACTCACGCACACACCCGTGTGTGAGATATGTGAGTGAACACCACCCGCTGCGTGGTGCCAGTCCTTCAGGGCCTTTCTCCTTGTGGCTGCTGGATCATCACCTGCAGTGCACGGCAGCCGAAACAGTTTGTATCTGCTGTTGGGATGGCTCTGCTTCCTCACTTTCCAGGTAGCCACTTGCAGGGGAGACCGCCTCTGAAGGCTTGGAAGGGAATCTGCCTTTTGAGCAGAGTAACCGCAAAGCCACAGTGAGAAAAGCACATGAGATATGGAGTATTTTCCAGTCATTTTTGGAAAGTAAAATCTGCCAAATTTAAATGGTCTTTAGGGGTGGGGCAATATTCAGGGTACAATCACTTGAAAACTACACTTTTGCCTTGAGATTTTCTGGGCCACAGAACTAATGTGAATTCTAGCCCCAAACCTAGTGCAGACTTACAGTTAGAAATCTCCTTGGGTTTTTCTCTTCTCCTTTGGCATTATACTAATGAAGTACCACGGTGAGGGAGGTTGGTATTCTTGCTGGCTTTCTCGATAGACTATTTTTTTCTACAAGATGTTTGCTGTGTTTTGTTGACCATTTTTAAATGTTTTGAAAGGCAAATAGATGTTGACTAATACATCTTTATTCTGAAAAAAAAAATTGGAAACAAATTCCTAATTATAATCTATGGTTGGCTACAGTTGTTACGTACCTTTGGAGGTGAGCACATGCTTTTTTGCCCATTGTTTTCTTATTGATAAATGCTAAATTTACAATTTACCAAATTTAGGATTGACAAAATATACAAAAAATTATTTTGTATCGCTCCTATGAACATTAGAGAGTTGAGTTATATTTGCCTCACAGGATAAGAGTTGAGTATATAAAATAAGTTTTCATCACTTTTAGATGCTTATTTGAAATCATTTTGTTGCATCGTGATAGTCATAGAAGAAGTGCCAGATTTTTTTATCATACATCTGATGATGTCAGTGTACATTTCGTCATGAATCAAAGGATTTTCACTCTGAAAACCGTCGCGTTCATGTTTTGTCAGGAAATGAAAGCTGTGGAATATGATGAATGGAGGTTCTGTGTGAAGTTGTAAAGGACTTTAACTGCTGTGAAATGGCACAGAGGAGAACTCTGACGCAGTAACAGGGGATGTCCTGGTGACATCTGCTCGGGCTGTGTGTGGGTGGCACTGGCTGGCTGGCCTGCTTAACATGGGATCTCCTTCCCACTCGGGTGAGCCCCTCCGTGTGCACCGGGGAGCTGGACTTCTTTTAGCCATCGTGGCTGCTTGTGTCCTGCATTATCCCTGCAATGCTGAGAAGCAAACTGCACTTGGCATGATCACGATTCCCCCAAAGTCTCCTGAGTCAGTACAGAGGCGGCAGCAGTGTCAGCACCAGAGAGCAGTGCCAGAGAAACTCCTCATGAAGGTGATTTCTGGCGATCGTAGATTGGGTGTGGGAGGGAGCATCACTTAAGACAGAATCGAGAAAGAGATATTAGATAGCAAATATTAGATATTAGATGGCAGCAAATTTTCCCTGATATGTTTGTGGTTATGGTCTTAATCCAAATGTGTGGGTTTTCCCATAACTTCCAGATCCCTACCTGGCCCTTTTTCCTTTCTAGTCCTGCTATCATAACCTAAGAGCCAGTCCTTTTATTTCGTCTACATTTTTGTATCGGGTTAGTCATGAAATAATAGCCAACTTTCCTGGATTCATTCTAAAAATATTATTTTTTAAAAAACTTTCACTCCTACGTGTTAGTTCTACGTTTCTAATTCTTTATACCTTGGCTTTC